GAGCCATCTGAGCTAGCTATCCATGAAAATGCATATGGATTGGCAAGATATGCTGTCATATGCCAGGAAAATGGATTGGTTCCTATTGTTGAACCTGAGATCCTTGTTGATGGACCTCATGACATCAACAAGTGTGCTGCAGTGACTGAACGTGTGCTTGCTGCATGCTACAAGGCTTTAAATGATCACCATGTGCTGCTTGAAGGAACACTTTTGAAGCCAAACATGGTGACCCCTGGATCAGAATCGCCAAAAGTTGCCCCTGAGGTTATTGCTGAGCACACTGTTAGAGCTCTGCAGCGTACTGTACCTGCGGCTGTTCCTGCTGTGGTTTTCTTGTCTGGCGGGCAGAGTGAGGAGGAGGCAACTCTCAACCTCAATGCTATGAACAAATTAAAGGGGAAGAAGCCATGGTCTCTTTCCTTCTCTTTTGGAAGGGCTCTTCAGCAGAGCACACTCAAGGCATGGTCTGGAAAGGAGGAAAACGTAAAGAAAGCTCAAGAAGCCTTCCTGACGAGGTGCAAGGCGAATTCAGAGGCAACTCTGGGAACCTACAAGGGTGATGCAAAGCTTGGTGAAGGTGCGTCTGAGAGCCTCCATGTGAAGGACTACAAGTACTGATCAACGTTGGAGTCTGAGAGAAATCGTCCTTGAGGATCCAAGTTCGTTATGCTAGAGACATGAATCGATGGGTCCTTCTCGGTGAAGATCAGGGGTCGACTGCTGCGGATTGATTGATCGATTTTGTTCGTCTTTTTCCTTTTTTTCCAGTGTTTCTGTGCTGTTGTCAGTTCAGTGTGTTAGGTTTGTAATTATCGGTTTGTATCAAACCTTTGAAGGAAGACGTAGTTGCTTATCTGATATTTAGGTTTGGGGCATTAACTGAGAGTCTGATACGGAGTTCTTGTTTTGAATATCTTGCTTGCTTTTGGCTCTGAACTCCGCCTATGTTTATAGCCGGTTTCAAGCCCGGGTAAAGGAGGAGGGTTGTGTTAGGCCATCAACAGCCAATGTAAAAATTTGTTGAATCTATCATGAACATGGACAATAGACGTTATAATGTTAATGCTAGGTCGTTGCCCGTAAGTAACGCGCTGCATGGCTCGAGTACAGTGATAAGTGAGTTAGAGCCGCTGCATCGGCGCCCGGATGTAGTGTTAAATGAGCAAGAGCTACCGCGTCATTCTGGACGCACGCGGCTAAAGAAGTTAGTCCATAAGAGCAAAATTAGATTTGGTACTTGGAATGTTGGGACATTAAATTGTAAATCTGTAGAGGTTGTAGGGGTTATGATTCAAAGGAAAATCAATATCATTTGCTTGCAAGAAACAAAATGGCGTGGAGAAGAAGCTAAGGATATTCAAGGTTTCAAACTTTGGTATACAGGAAAAGTAAGTGCACGCAATGGAGTAGGCATCATTATAGATAAGGAGTGGAAGAAGAGCGTTGTAGCAGTTAGCAGAATTGGAGATAGAATTATTTCTTTAAAATGATAATTGGACGTGAGACTGTTAATATTGTTAGCGCTTATGCGCTGCAAGTCGGGACAGAAGCCAGTCTTAAGGAATTATTTTGGGAGGATCTAGAGGGGTTGATTCGACACATACCACAGAGTGAAAAGATTTTTATTGGAGGAGACTTTAATGGGCATGTCGGGAGGGAAGCTGGTCAGTATGCGAGGGTGCATGGTGGTTTTGGTTTTGGAGAGCTAAACAATGAAGGACAAACTCTTCTTGATTTCTCATTGGCGTATGATTTTAAGATTGCCAACACTTGTTTCAAGAAGAGAGATGAGCATCTCATCACTTACAAAAGTGGAGCCTCAAGGTCGCAGATTGATTTTCTTTTGGTTAGGAACACAGATAGAAAACTTTGTAAAAACTGTAAGGTGATACCCGGAGATGCTGTAACGACACAACATAGGGTCCTAGTCCTTGATGTGTGTATTATGAGTAAAATCCAAAAAAGTCGACAAGTAGTAACACCAAGGATTAGGTGGTGGCAATTAAAAGGTGAGAAGCAAGATATTTTCAAGCGAAATCTTTTGGATAAAGGAATTTGGGATTCTCAGGGAAGTGCTAACATTATATGGGAGGATATGGCTAAAAAGATACGGGAGGTTGCAAAAGTAGTTTTGGGAGAATCGAAAGGTTCTAGTCCGAGAGATAAGGAGTCTTGGTGGTGGAATAATAGTGTACAGGACAAAATCAAGTATAAGAAGAACTGTTTTAAAGCCATACATTTGTGTAACAATGAGGAAAATTGGGAGAGGTACCGTATGGCTAAGAAGGAAACTAAGAGAGCTGTGGGTGAAGCTCGTTCTAAAGCTTTTGAAGAATTTTATAAGAACCTTGAGACGAAGGAAGGAGAGCAAAATATTTATAAGATTGCCAAGAGTAGGGAAAGAAAATCAAGAGATCTAGAACAGGTAAGGTGTATTAAGGATGAAGAGGGAAGAATTTTAGTTACAGATGATGAAATTAAAAATAGATGGGAGACTTATTTTTCTAAACTTTTCAATGATGGAGAGGATTTATCTAGTAACTTGGAAGATTTAGTAACTGGTGAAGGAGAATAAAATTTGTCATTCTATCGAAAAATACATGATAAGGAGGTAAAGGAAGCTCTTAAGAAAATGGCAAATGGTAGAGCGAACGGACCTGATTGTATATCTATCGAAGCGTGGAAATGTTTAGGTGAAGAAGGGGTGAGATGGTTAACTAAGTTATTTAATGTGATTTTACGGTCCAAGAAAATACCTGATGAGTGGAGGAGAAGTACATTAATTCCTATTTATAAAAATAAAGGAGATATTCAGAATTGTACTAACTATAGAGGGATTAAACTCATGAGCCACACAATAAATTGTGGGAGAAAGTAATTGAGCACAGGTTGAGATTGGAGACAAGTATTTCTGAGAATCAATTTGGTTTTATGCCAGGTAGATCAACTACAGAGGCGATTTATCTACTAAGGGGATTAATGGAAAAGTATCGTTGTAAAGATAAAGATCTACACATGGTTTTTATTGATTTGGAAAAAGCTTATGACCGTATACCAAGAGAAGTGCTTTGGAAAGCGTTGGAAAAAAAGGGAGTACGGATTGCTTATATTAAAGCCATACAAGATATGTATGAGGGGGTAAAAACTAGTATAAGAACGCCTAGTGGTCAAACAAAGGATTTTCCTATAAAGATTGGACTACATCAGGGATCATCTCTGAGTCCTTATTTGTTTAACTTGATTTTAAATGTTTTGACGGAACATATTCAAGAGGAAATCCCGAAATGTATGCTCTTCGCGGATGATATAGTTCTTATAGCAGAGACAAGAGAAGAGGTTAATTGCAAACTTGAGTTATGGAGGAGGACATTGGAGTCGAAAGGTTTTCGTCTGAGTAGAAGTAAGACGGAATATTTATATTGTAAATTTGGTAAAGGACTATTCGAAAATAATTTGGAAATGAAATTGGGAGATCAAATTATACCTCAAGTGGAAAAGTTTAGATATTTAGGAGCCATTATTCAAAATGATGGCGAAATCAGTGGAGATATTTCACATAGAATTTAAGCTGGGTGGTTTAATTGGAGAAAAGCTAAAGGAGTTATTTGTGACCGTAAGGTGCCTAATAAACTTAAAGGAAAGTTTTATCGTACTGCTATCAGACCGGCAATGTTATATAGTAGTGAATGCTGGGCTCTAACGGGACAGCAAGAGCATAAAGTTGGAGTAGCAGAGATGAGAATGTTACGATGGATGTGCGGACATACACGTAAAGATAAAATTCGAAATGAGCACATACGCAAAAAAGTGAGGGTGGCACCTATTGAAGAAAAAATGGTAGAAAATCGGTTGAGATGGTTTGGGCATGTACAAAGAAGACCAAGGGAGGCACCAGTGAGAAGAGTGGAACATATAACTTTGAGTCCGATTAAGAGAGGTAGAGGAAGGCCTAAGAGAACACTCTTGGAAGTTGTTGAACGTGATCTCTTAATTAATAATATTTTTAAAAGCTTAATAAATGATAGAGCACAATGGCGTCTTGCAATCCATGTAGCCGACCCCACCTAGTGGGATAAAGGCTTGTTGTTGTTGTTGTTGTTGTTTGCTTGCTTTCGGCTCTGCTGCTTAGAAAGGCTCTCCCCCCAATTTTCTGTTAATATTCATGGCTGTTTTTTAACTCAGTTGTTCTCATCCGTTGTAAATGCAATATTCAAATGAAATTTTGGTCAAGAGTAAGAACAATACGATGAAGGGACAGAGATTTTGTTGTATATAGTGGTTAAATTTAATTCTTTTTTCTCTGGCAAATTTTTTTTGGATATGTTAAATAATGTTGGTACTTTCGTTAATTCAAGATATTAATCTAACTTCTCTTTGATTTCTTTTTCTATATGTAGTTAAAAACATATATATCTTTTAAAAATAAAATTACTTAAATACCTTGGATATCATATTATGAATAAAAGTTACTTTTTTAAAAAAAAAAAAAAGGTCAGAGACAATGTGAGCGTGTCTTAACTTACAAAAGAAAAAACGATATCCGTTTACCTCCTAAAGAAGTTTGCCTGACTTACTCAACCAAGTATAATAGCCTCCTCGTATGTCACTCATGCTCTTCAGATTTAGAATTGGTTCGTGTTCTTCCGTGTTTATGATGCGCCTAATCTTTCTCCCTCAATTTTTTTTTTTTTTGGGGGGGGGGGAGTTTGCCAAGTCTACATAGATAAAGCTTAGTCCTGGCTGACTGAAATTTGATTTGTTAGGCTATTCAGATTTAACGGGTCCAACAATGGAAATCCAGATAATGCAATGTAAGAAAACCGTTATTGATGTTAACAGCTATCTATCCACACCAGAGCCCAGATTGCGAATTGCCTTGCAAGTTAATTTGGGAATACGGGGCACATAAATCACTTTGGAAGGCAGGATAGTGGGATTCTAACGGAAAAGCACAACTCGGGCAAGGACAAAGATGACCAGGAAAGAAGAGTAGCAACTTGCAAGAGAAAGATGCATAAACTAATATGAGTGAAAGTCTGAAACTATAGCACAGCTGCATACAAAGGAACAGCCTACATATGCACAAAGACGAGCATGTAACTATGTATATAAACATCCAAACTAACAGAGTCAACCCATGCCTCTCCTCAACGAGCCTTGCCAGCCACCCCCAAAAATTTTAAAAATGCAACGGGGCCAATTACCTAGCAGTTCAAAATTTAATAACTCCCCATATGTTAGCTATGAATACTACTGCAGCCATTAAACTGACAGAGAATACCAAGGTAGATGACCGGATCCTGGCACGAGAAGAAACCTTTGATGTGCCCTTAACTGATTTGCACAACATGGTTTCTTTTAAACCTGAGATAGAATCTTCATTTGTAACAAGTTGCTGAGAAATATTATTACTGTCAACTGACTCAGGAGTCTGGGGTTCACTCTCAGCATTAGCATCCTCTTCTGCAGCATTATTTTCTGAGGCTTCAGTCTCCTGCAAAAGAGCAATCCCACAAATCTCACAAGAAGCGCCAAATAACCTTCTGTTTAATACATAAGTTCTACCATGTAAACACTTACCCTTGTGATGATTGGTTTTGAATCATGGTTTTCTTGTACATAACCCCCACCTTTCTCAATTTTAAGTAGAAGAATTCTTCTGGGAGCATTACCCTGCCCTTGGATCATAGGGTTCATGTTTACCTCTTCATTTCGCCCTTGGCGAGTCCTAATCCTGATCCCAGTCCCAGCACCATTATCACCGCCAACAACTGTATTGTAGTTTCTTGGTTCCTGACAACCATTTAACACACTGTAGACTTGGTCAAAAGCAACATCAGATGGCAAAGCCATCTGAGAATGGCTTTGGACTATCCCAATATTGCTCTTCTGGTCAAAACCACTGAGGTCAGGCGTAATGGCTCCGGTAAATTCTGAAGCTGTATCTATCATGGAAGGAATCCTGTTCTCAATTGCCTCCTCAGGATGCACAGCATGCAATGCTTGACGATACTGCAGAATACAATAAGATCATAGCATTATACAAGAGATGCAATTATTAATGCTAATAACACTCTCAAACACAACTAGATTATGCATGTTGCAAACTGATGTGTCAATCTGGCAGCCAATTAGTGGGAACCATTATATAATTTTTTCTTTTTGGTTAAAAAAAAAAAAAAGAATTAAAGCTACCACTTCAAGTTGGAAAACCAACACATGTTCATTCCGCAGCGAAATCCAAAATGGCATAAATTTATAACAGGCTCCTTACCGGCATATTGGCCATTTGCACATCTGAGTCATTGCCAGATCCATAGTCCCTAGGATTTAAAACGCCAGAGGTTGGCTTTTGACTGATGTAGTCCTCACAGGACAACCCGCCATAATTAATGCATGAGTCAAAGTACTCTGAAAAATTTGTCTCATTTGTGCCATATGAAAGTTGCACCCCAGAATAGCCATCTGATACATTGCTCACTGGATCATAAAATTCTGACAGCACATGCATATGTAACGGGGAGAACATCTTGTCATCAAATCCAGTTATTGGTTCATTAAATATATCAAGGTTCAACAGCGGATCCTCCTGAAGAAGGAAGCAACAACTACAAGTTCTAGGTAAACAATTTCAAAATACACAAACCGAAACAGAAAGAAATAAACAAGAAAGACAAAATAAGACTTGTAGAAACTCAATTACTGTATCTGACCTCTATAGCTGTTTTATCTACATTTTGATTTTGTGCGTCACAAGCATCACCCCCATCACTATGGCAATCAGCTGATGTTATTACGTTAGATGTGGTTTCTTCAGTGTTCTCAGAAATACAGAATGGAGCTATCCGCTGCTTATCATCTTCTGGAGCCACCGACGGGGATACCACAGCCACACCAGCATCAGACTGTATTTCTTCTGGAGAGTAATTAGCAGCAGTAGGGGTTGACACAGTCCGTTCCACTTCTTCACAGTTTGAAACTTCAAGACTCTCATCTTGTTTCTTAAACAAACGACAGAGGACATAGGCATTCTGGCACAAGTCAAAACCATCAAATCAAAATTCACCGATATATCATCATCTACGTAAAAATATAGTCAGCCAAAAGTTCTATGAACACTTAGGTAATCAAACTAAAGGAGAGCTATTTCCAAAGATATTGGATGCAACATTGCAAGGTTGCAACGATTCGATGTGACAACCCCACGAAAACAAGATATGAAGAAGCAAATTTAAACAATATAAAACATGAGAGAAGGCTTTACCTGTCCAGGATTGGTACCATCAAGCTCCTTCAGAGTGGGACGGTACTCATGCATAACCCAATGGGTTCTCTTCCCCTTGGGAGCACGACCACTGTAGAAGACTAAAGTCTTCTTCATTCCTATCAACGTGGACCCGGACTTAATTTTGCGATCCTTGCCAGTTGCCTTCCAATACCCTTGATTTGTTGCTCGGTTCAATCTATGGCCATTCGGATACTTGCGGTCCTGTGGACAGAAGAAGAACCACTCTGGATCCTTGTTCCGTATCACCGATAAATCTATTGACAAGCCAAATCAATCGAAACCAGAAAGAAGCAAATGAGCGCATAAAATAGCACACGAAGCACCAAGACGAGCTAATTTGCACAGAAGTTTTTTTCTTTTTTCACATCAATTGTACACTAATCCTGCAATCTTGCATACCACTTGTTTCATAGAATCACATCGAAGAAAATTGAAAAAGAGAAGCATTTCACGTTTGTTCTCAATGATTGAAAGATGGAAAACCATTTTTTTCTATCGCGTTCAATTCTTAAAACCCGTCATCTTTTTTTCCCCATCGCGTTCAATTCTTAATAGACACAAGTAAAATTGCAATGAGTGGAAGAATGAATAGTGTGCACAGCAAAACAAGACAAGCAAAGTCTTGCAACTTTCCCAATTTCAAGATGAAAGGAAAAAGGAACAAATACCAGGCAAATCCCAGGGCTCCCATTTGCAAACATCGATTTCCCGGATAACCCAGACTTCGTCACCATAACCATTAATCTTCTGTCTCAGGTAAAAATCAACAAGCTCCTCGTCGGTGGGCCGAAATCTGAAACCCAGAGGCAGCGAATTCAGAGGCAACACAGCCGTCTCATCCGCTCGCGGTGGCGGCGGATGACAGGTAGTAGCCGCACCCATCCGGAAGTATCAGCAGGAGTTTCGAAGAAAAAAAGGGCGGAAAAAGGGAGTGTTTGAAGAACCCGTCGATCAATTATAGAGAGAGAGAGAGAGAGAGGAAGACCAAGAAGGAGAGCTTAGAATCAAGATGATTCAGAGGATTTTTGGGTGCGATGGGCCAGGTAGCTTGATCCTTCGCTCTTTTACAATGGGTTAAAAAGAGAGTGAAACGCGTTCGGGAAAGCAGCTAACCACGAAGCGTGGTCAGATACCATGACATGACCACAGAATAGTCAGTCACAGTGCCAAACCAAGGAAGGGACGGAACCGTGTGTACCATATTAACCTCGCCGAGCCACTAGATTCACAGGCAATGCCAGTCCAATGCGAAACGAGTTTGGTAGTAACACTCGCAGGATTGGGTTGGCAGCCAAGTGGGACTAAGAAGCACTGTGACAACAAGACGACAAACTGAAAAAGCGCCCAGAGAGAACGACCAATAATATAAAGACGCCTGGCTTAAGTGGGCCCTCTCATTGACGTAGTCAGCAAGGAAACCTGAGTGACTGTCTTTTTACCCATACCCTTACATGCTCACTCTCCTAGAGTCGCAGGTTAAACTTTCTGCTCGTGTGGCCCTGCATGGTCGGAGTGGAAGGTAAAATGTTCGAATTGATGTGAATGCGTTTAAAAAAATTGTTACTCTCTAGATTCTAGACGGCGTGAATGGAAAATATGGAAGTATTATTTTTGAGTTATTTAATTTACATGGTAGAATATTTTGTTTTGGGACATGATAATGCCACAATGTCTGGTATTTTAGGAATGATGCACAAGGGATATGCAGCATGGTAGCTTCCTGTGGCCCAAAGGATTAGAACTTTCCTCTGGCTCATGTAGAAGAGCAAGTTACTTGCTAACTCCGAACGATCTAAAAGGATGACGATGCAAGATACACAATGCTCTCTTTGCAACGCACCTGTTGAAGATATAGTGTGTGTTTGAATTAAAAAATTTATAATTGAGGTTAGGATTCAATTGAGATTAGCAAATTAAGGTTAGAAGAAAAGTCAGTTGATATAACGTGACTTATATTTGGATACCATTTTTTTTAAAAGTCAGTCAGATAAACTAAAATTTGTTTGGATGGTTTAATTCAAAAGCCAATTGAGATGTTTAATGGCAAAAATAAGCATGAATTTTTTATCTTAAATATTAAATCTTAAATGAGCATGTTTATATTTTTTTGACTAACTAATAAGTAAAAATATTAAACTTAAAATTACAATTAATAAGTAAAATATTTTAAACAAACATTAATTTTTTCCTTTAACTCGAGAGGGTTTATGAGTTAATTATTTCCCCAAATCACTCAATTCATATAAATAATTCACAACCAAGGGTATCACAGTGTAATATTAGGAAATTGGCCAATCATTAGTGATCTCCCTTCTAGCAAGGTTTTTAGAGAATCAATTTTTGAATACTTTATCTTTTCCAGAACTTCAACAACTTATCATAAAAATTAAAATACAAGATTGAAGCAAGGAACTGGTACCACATCAGCACATCATCACACATCAACACTTCAATCATATCCATACTCAAATTTATTAACAACAATGGGCAAATCTTGGTAATTGAACTTATCAAACTACATTATCAATACACATGTGCCATCTTTAAATAAAGAAGTTATCTATGGCAATTCACGATCAAGCGATTATTTTCCATTTGAGTTACAAACACTGTATACACGTGTACACAAACACCATTTGAGTTAGAGAATCACGAGCGAGCACCCACAGCACCACAACAGCGAGATGAGATCCGGTAAAAAATGAGAGACCAAGAGGCGAGAGGCAAAAGAGGATGAGGCCGTTTGCTGAGTCAAGGTCAAGCTGTGAGAGTGAGTGTGAAGCTTGGGGTTTTTAGGGTTCAGATAGAACTGGGATGCAGAGTGGCATTTACTTAGAGATGAAGGGGAGAGAGAACAAGCGATGTAATAGAGAGAGGGGGGAACGATGATGCTTATGGTGAATGTGGGGGTAGTGCAACAACTCTGGATGAGGATTGTAACAGTACGGAGCCACCCCTTGGGCCTCGACTCGGTACTGGACTCTGGCCCATCACTGGACCAAAGCCGACTTTCCCACAGGTGGTACTGTGGTTATTCCTCACCACTGCCTCTCCAGGGTCTTTTGGAACCTCCCCAGACTCGAACCTCCAACCTCTACCACCTTAATGAAGTTGAGGCGAAGTCTGGTACCATTGGGTCACTTGACTCAATGGTACCAGACTTCGCCTCAACTTCATTAAGGTGGTAGAGGTTGGAGGTTCGAGTCTGGGGAGGTTCCAAAAGACCCTGGAGAGGCAGTGGTGAGGAATAACCACAGTACCACCTGTGGGAAAGTCGGCTTTGGTCCAGTGATGGGCCAGAGTCCAGTACCGAGTCGAGGCCCAAGGGGTGGCTCCGTACTGTTACATAAAAGGCGCCTTTTATGTAACAGTACGGAGCCACCCCTTGGGCCTCGACTCGGTACTGGACTCTGGCCCATCACTGGACCAAAGCCGACTTTCCCACAGGTGGTACTGTGGTTATTCCTCACCACTGCCTCTCCAGGGTCTTTTGGAACCTCCCCAGACTCGAACCTCCAACCTCTACCACCTTAATGAAGTTGAGGCGAAGTCTGGTACCATTGGGCTATATGTAACACCCTCAAATTTACAGACCGATTTTTCGTAAATTATTAAAACCATTATCATGGTAGAAAAATTTCTACCACGATACATCCAAGACAATATACCACAGGTCTTAAAATATCTAAAAAAAAATTAGAACCATGAGGGACAGACATGATCCTCATAGCATGTTATTCAAATCAGATCATAAATCAAGAGGGACAGACATAATCCTCTTGGTCATATAAATACTTTTAATAAAAAGGATTAGAGTTTACATGCTTCACAAAGAAGATATGTCCTAAGTTGGCACAAGATACATTGTATAATCTAAAATAAGAGGCAACGTAAAAGATGGTGTCTCATACACCACAGTTACACCTCTGGTGCTTTCTCGGCCGGACTCGCTCCTGTAAAAATATTAACCACGGGGAATGAGACTTAAAAGTCCCAGTAACCAAAAATTAATATGTAATGATGCATGCGGATGTAACTAATCATGCGATTGCTAAGTGGGCACACAAAACATTTAACCGAACAATACTTTCAAACAAACCGAACAAGTATTTAATTTGCATGACTGCACCTTATATCCTCCTTTCGCCATGCTCGGACGCCAAATCACCCGGCCAAAGGTGAGTTGGACCAAGCGACACGCCACTCATTGGGTCCAATGAGGGCTTACCACGTGGTAATAATTAACCGAACAGAAATTCCCATTAACACCATACATTAAAATACCCTGACAAGTCATGCATCATTCAAATATCCAAACAGGAATATATCCGAACAATAATATCTCATCATGATAAACAAAATAAATTTTTAACCCACTTGGCAATAATTTCAAACAAGTATATACAGTATTTATTTTCAATAATTCATAATTTTTCCAAACAACAAAACAACACATAACCATTCACAAACACACTCATCACAACACATTAATAATGGTTACCTTGTGTCTTGAATAACAAGTTCCCCTTCACAACTCCTTTTTCACCACTATCTTTGTCAATATAATCTACATAATTATTTCACAATACTATATATTAATTTTACATTAAAATAAATAACTCTAATTTAAAGAGTTAGAAAGTCTTAAATCTATAGTCCATATTAACACTAATTTAAGATTTATGCCTCATTTAACTTCCCAAATTCTTTTCTAAAATTCTCGTACCCTAATGAACTATTTTTTTTATCCTCAATTCACTTCTAGTATCACAATTTCATCCTTCTACATTCTAAAAATTCATCCAAAAATAAATTAAAAATTTTAGAATTATCCTGAAGCCTCAAATCACCTTTCTATAACCTCAAAAATACCTATTCATACTTAAATAAATATTTAATAATCATAGGTTTATCCCTACATCTCAGATTCCACATAAATTCAACCATATAGATCTAGATTTTAACTCAAAAATTCTTAAACATGAGTTTCAACCTTAAGAAAATATTCTATAATATTTATATATCCCTAAGAATTTTAACCTATATTTTTAATCCATCATATCATCAGATTAACTATCCTATAGAAAAATCCTAATCAAAATATTTACTCTATCCTACAAAATAATCATATCACTAGAAAGCTAATATTATTTAGAAAATAACTATAAAATTAATTTTGTAATTAAATAAATTTTTAAATGCTAATCTAAACAGGAAAGTTAGAACATACCTGAAGAAAAAAGAAAATAATCCCCCCTTGCGAGAAAACGCCGAGCAACGTGAGAGGAAGAGAGAAAAATAATATAAAAATGGGATTGTGAGTCCCAAAATTATATTAAAAAAAACTATAGGTTTGAATTTAATTATTCAAACCTTTGGGCCCAAAGTTGCAATTTTCTCTAAATTGCATCTTAGCCTCTCATGCTTCCTAATGCACACCCCCCTCCTTTTTATACATGAAGGCACCTCTTCTCTTCCCTCATCTAACCAATGTGGGACTTAGAAACAACAACCTTCCACCCCCCCTTTTTTTTTGTTCCTTCTACCTTCTCTCTTTTTTTTTAACACACACATAAAAAAAATTATTTATGTATTATATCTTAACTAAATATTGCTTATGTGGTTTTAAATTTAAATTTTTAAATTCATAATTAAATACCTAATCATAATATTATTTCTAAATAACCTCAAATAATATAAATTCCTATTATTATCATTTTTTTCCTCAAAACCTAAATTCCACAATTTCTTTATTATATAAAAATCAGGATGTTACAATTCTCCCCTCCTTTTAGAAATTTTGTCCTCAAAATTTAATAGATAAGCTTAGAAACTATGTACCTAAGCAAATAAATGTGGATAATCTCGCCTCATACTCTCCTCGGTCTCCCAAGTAGCATCACCTAGGGCTCCACCCTTCCAAATCACCTTCACGAGTCGGATGGTCTTATTGCGTAGTTGTTTGTCCTTAAAGTCCTCAATTCGCTCCGGTTCGGATCTAAAGGTCAAATTCTCCCTCAATTCTACTTCTTCAGGTTCAATAACATGGGAGGGATCCGGGTTGTACTTCTTCAACTGTGATACGTGGAACACATTATGGATACCTGCAATCTGTGGAGGTAATGCAACTCTATATGCAGTAGATCCAATTCGCTCCAAGATCTCATACGGGCCCATAAATCTAGGTGTCAATTTCTTTGCCTTAATGGATCTACCAATGCCTGTCACTGGAGAAACCTTCAAAAATACATGATCTCCTACTTCAAACTCTAACGGCCGTCTCCTCTTATCAGCATAGCTCTTCTGTCGGCTCTGAGCGGTTAGCAATTTTTGCTTAATCATTGCAATCTTCTGGGTGGTCTGCTCTACAATTTCTGGACCAATGATACTCCTCTCACTTAATTCTGTCCAACATAAAGGCGATCTACACTTCCTTCCATACAAGGCCTCATAAGGCGCCATCCCAATACTAGAATGATAGCTGTTATTATAAGCAAATTCAGCTAATGGCAAATGATTATCCCAACTACCTGGTAGTTCAATGGCACAAGCTCTCAACATGTCCTCCAAAGTCTGGATCGTCCTCTCTGTTTGTCCATCTGTTTGGGGGTGGTATGCGGTGCTAAAACTCAGTCTGGTACCCATAGCCTTCTGTAGCGCACCCCAAAAGTTTGAAGTGAACCTTGGGTCACGATCTGACACAATTCTAGAGGGTATACCATGAAGTCTAACTATCTCCTTAATGTATATCTCAGCAAATTTCTCTAATGTAGAGGTAAACTTGATCGCCAAAAAGTGAGCTGATTTGGTGAGTCGGTCTACTATCACCCAAATAGCATCCTTACTCGAGGGTGTTCTTGGCAGTCCAGTGATGAAATCCATAGAAATATCATCCCATTTCCACTTTGGAATATCTAACGGTTGCAGTGTTCCAGCTGGCTTCTGATGTTCTATCTTTATCTTCTGACACGTTAAACATCTAGAAACAAATTCAGTTACATCTTTCTTCATTCCTGGCCACCACCAACCTCGCTTCAAATCATGGTACATTTTAGTTATACCGGGATGAATTGTATATTTGCTCCTATGAGCTTCTTCTAAAAGGATATTCCTCAATCTTGGATCATTAGGTACACAAACTCTACCTTTATACTTCATCACTGTGTCCTCAGAGATGGTAAAATTTGGGGCCTTACCTACCACTATCTCCTTCCTTATATTCCTTAAGTAGTCATCACTTTGCTGTGAGACTCTGAGATCTTCCCAGAATTTGCTCTCAAAGTCTGCTACCTGGAGTGCGGCCATTTGATGTTCAATCACATCTACTGGAACATCATGAAAACTGTTCCATAAATGATATTCATGAACCATCAAATGTGCAGCATGAATAGTCTTTCTACTTAAGGCATCAGCTACCACGTTAGCCTTACCCGGATGGTAATGTAATTCAAAGTCATAATCCTTTAGAAATTCCATCCATCGTCGCTGCCTCATATTAAGCTCTTTTTGATCAAATAAATACTTCAGGCTCTTATGGTCACTGAAGATTTGAAACTTAGATCCATACAAGTAGTGTCTCCATATCTTCAGAGCAAACACAACTGCAGCTAACTCCAAATCATGAGTAGGGTAATTTTCCTCGTGTGGTCTCAACTGTCTGGAGGAATAGGCAACCACTCGGTCATTTTGCATCAAAACACATCCTAAACCCTTTAAAGAAGCATCAGTGTACAGAGTGTACGGCACCACAGGGTCAGGAATAGTCAATACTGGAGTAGTGGTTAACCTCTTTTTCAATTCTTGGAAAGCAGCTTCACATTTGTCAGTCCAAATAAATGGGGCATCCTTCTTAGTTAGCTTAGTTAAGGGCATCGCAATTTGCGAAAATCCCTTAATAAAGCGACGATAATAACCTGCTAAACCTAAAAAGCTTCGTATCTCTGTAACAGATTTTGGCTGTTCCCACTTCATCACTGCATCAATCTTGCTAGGATCCACCGCAACTCCATCTCTGGACACAACATGGCCCAAAAACTTTACTTCTTGGAGCCAAAATTCACACTTGCTTAATTTGGCATAAAGCTTATGTTCCCTCAAAACTTGCAAGACGATTCTTAAATGTTCACCATGAGCCTCCTCATCCTTTGAATAAATAAGAATGTCATCAATAAACACTACTACAAACTTATCTAAATAGGGTCGAAAGATCCTATTCATGTAATCCATGAATACCGCAGGAGCATTCGTAAGTCCAAACGGCATCACCATGAATTCATAATGCCCATATCTCGTCCGAAATGCTGTCTTAGGTATATCCTCTGCTCTCACTCTCAATTGGTGGTACCCTGACCTTAAGTCAATCTTTGAGAAAACTGCGGATCCCACAAGCTGATCCAGCAAATCATCGATTCTCGGAAGTGGATATTTGTTCTTGATGGTTACTTTGTTCAATTGTCTATAATCAATGCACAATCGGAGGCTTCCGTCCTTCTTCTTTACAAAAAGGACTGGAGATCCCCAAGGTGAAACACTCGGTCTGATGAAACCCTTCTCAAGTAGCTCTTCGATTTGCTTTTTCAGTTCCGCTAACTCTGAAGGGGACATCCGATAAGGAGCCTTAGAAATTGGCCCTGTACCGGGTACCAATTCAATTGAGAACTCTACCTCGCGCTTTGGGGGTAAACCGGAGACTTCGTCTGGAAATACATCCGCAAATTCTTTGACAATTGGGATATTCTTCACGCCTTCATCAATCTCAGCTTGGATAGAGAAGAAAACCATGTAGGCCTGGCAACCCTTCTTCATACATCTATCAACTTGCGCCGCCGACAAGAAAACATGATCTTGAGTCTCGACTGGGGTCACCGACAAAGAAGATAAAGACACACTCCTCTCTCTACAATCTAGGATAGCACCATTTGCAGCCATCCAATTCATTCCCACAATTACATCCATACCTCTCAGTGGTAGGATAATTAAGTCCATAGTTGTTTTCCTATTTTTAAACTCGACTACTAGGTTAAGGCATGCCTTAGCGGTCCTCACAGATTCTCCCGCAGGAGTAGACACATTCATATCAAAAGGTAAAATACACACAGGCAAATCAAGGTTCTTTACACAAGTTTCAGAAATAAAAGAGTGTGTAGCACCCGAATCAAATAGTGCAACAATATCATGATGAAGGATTTTGATGTTACCTCTAATGGCATCTGGGGAGTTCATGGTGTCCTGAGTAAGAGCAAACACACGACCAGAGACAGTAGGATGTTGGGAAGGGTTCTTCATATTTGAGCCCTGGTTGTCCCCACAAAACTTTGCAATGTGACCGGGTTTCCCACAAATGTAACAGACCCAGCACTGTCCGAAATGACGACGCCCGCATTTAGTGCACTGTTGAGAGCTCGCTGTACTCGGGGCAGGGGTAGATACTGTTGGGCTCCTCTGTGACCCGTAATAACTACTATGATAGCTCCTCTGTCCTTGGCCCCTTTGAAATGGACCCTTCTGCCTTCCTTGGTTCCATGAGCTACTCGAACCCTGATGGTTTTTCTTCATAATGCCTCCGGTGGGTCGAGGGTAGGTTGGGGGTCTACTATATGAATAACCCCTCTTCTCTCTCTCAACCTCCTTCTTACTGCGAGCTACTACTTGTAGTTTTATGCACATTTCATCATAATCTCGGATATCTAGATGAGCCAATTGTTCCCTCAATTCTGGTCTAGCCTTCTCCAATAAGCGCTTAGCCTTCCATTCGGAATCATCCCTATACTGCAGGTACGTGGAGTATCTAGATAACTCCTGAAACTTAGCAATGAATGTGTCCTCATCGAGGTTCCCTTGCTTAAAGGCATGGAATTCCGCTTCCTTCTCAGACCTTAACTCTGATGGAAAGTAATGCCTGAATAATTTTTCCTTGAATTCCTCCCAGGTGAGTGTAGAATCATCCCTGGGCCCTGCTGTCTCCCACCAATCTCTTGCTCCTTTCACTAGGAGCACTAATGCTACTTGTACTTTTTGATTGCTGGTGCATGTGACTACTCGAAAGATGGATTCGAGTCTCTTCACCCATTCCTCTACCACGGATGGTTTAAGGTTACCATCAAACGTAGGAGGGTTAAACTTCCTAACAGTTTCCCACACATCAGTAATGGTCGGTGGGGCTCTCTGTTCCTCCTGCCTAATTTCTTTCCTTCTAGACTCATGATCTCTCAGAGTGGCAGGATGTGAGGAACTGCCTTCCCCCACATGACTCTCAACATGAGCCCTATCTCCATTTTCAGTTACCTTTTGCCTCTTTAGCTCCGTCAACTCTTGTTCGTATCCTTGAACCTTGTCTGTTAATGTTTTTACAAGCATTCTTAATTCCGCCAAGTCAGGCTCCTCATTTGGCAGTGGCGGTGGCAGGTGCTCATGTTGGAATCCTGAGTTACCACGAGTA